GCCACAGAAGCAGTTCTGAAGGCAAATGGCGTCCAACATAATACTAGTAAGGTGTACCTAATAAAGTGGCCGGTTAGTGTATACACACAGTTAACCTGCAGTTTTATAGCCTATACTGTGGGTGTGTACATGGTCGGTGAAGTGTATTTGTGTAATAAGTGTATGTGTACAGCTCTAATCTGACAAATTCATCCATAAGACATGAAGATATGAGGATATTATAAACATTACTGTCTGAGTAAAGTCTGAGAGCTCTGCTGTTTGTGTTCAGTGTGTGACAATGGCTGCTTTCTTACTCCGCATCATAAGCCACAGAATCTGCTCGCTGTGTTTACTTCTCCAGCAAACCATGCATCCATTCATCCATCCGTCTCTCACTCTCTCTCTCTCTCTCTGCGCTTTTAATCAGGACTAAACACAAAGCGTTGCGTCGCAGGAAACTCTCAGCTGTCAGTGCGGATGTAAAGAGATTACATGATGCTAGCGCTAATCCAGAACAGCTTTCCTCATGGAGAAACACACACAGGCTGAAGACGCAAACCAAGAGCAGTTCTGTCTCACATCTGGAGCGCAGTGGAGAATGTGCGCACACACACACACACACAGATGCAGGACCTGATTGAGACACATAGTGAGTCCAGGTGCGTGGACGAACGTTCACAATGCGGCTCTGATTCTCTAATAGACTCCATCTGGAAGTCCACACACACACACACACACACACACACACACACACACACACACACACACACACACACACACACACACTTGTTAGCGCTTGCTGTGCTGTCTGGCAAGAGTTTTCCATTTACACACACTGAGAAACATGGATATGATGAACATGCTGGAAATCTCACAACAGCACATTCTTTGTGTGTGTGTGTGTGTGTGGTGTGTGAGTGATTGTTTCGTTTGTATGTCTGTGTGTGTGTGTGTGTGTGTGTGTTTGTAAATCTGTGCGTGTGTGTGTGCATTATAAATTGGTGTTTGAGTGTATATGTGTGTGTGTGTCTGTGTGCATGTTTGTGTGTGAGAGTGAGTGAGAGACAGAGAAAGTTTGCGGTTTGTGTGTGTTCATTTGTGTGTGTGTGTGTGTGTGTGTGTGTGTGTGTGTGTGTGCATGAGTGAGTGAGAAAGTTTGCGGTTTGTGTGTGTGTGTGTGTGTGTGTGTGTGTGTGTGTGAGAGAGTGAGTGAGACAGAGAGAGAAAGTTTGCAGTTTGTGTGTGTTCATTTGTGTAAGTGTGTCTGGGTGTGTGTATGTGAGTGAGTGAGTGAGTGAGTGAGTGAATTTGCGGTTTGTGTGTGTGCGTGTGTGTGTGCATAATCATTGGTGTTTGTGTGTGCGTGTGTGTTTGTGAATCTGTGTCACACACAGTGTGCATGTGTGCTTTTGTGTGTGTGTGTGTGTGTGTGTGTGTGTGTGTGAGTGTGTGTGTGTGTGTGTGTGTGTGTGAGAGAGTGAGAGAGAAAGTTTGCGGTTTGTGTGTGTTCATTTGTGTGTGTGTGTGTGTGTCTGTGTGTGTATGTGAGTGAGTGAGTGAGTGAGTTTGCGGTTTGTGTGTGTGCGTGTGTGTGTGCATGATCATTGGTGTTTGTGTGTGTGTGTGTGTTTGTGAATCTGTGTCACACACAGTGTGCATGTGTGCTTTTGTGTGTGTGTGTGAGTGTGTGTGTGTGTGTGTGTGTGAGTGTGTGTGAGTGTGTGTGTGTGTGTGTGTGTGTGTGTGTGTGTGTGTGTGTGTGTGTGTGTGTGTGTGAGTGAGTGAGACAGAGAGAGAAAGTTTGCGGTTTGTGTGTGTTCATTTGTGTAAGTGTGTCTGGGTGTGTGTATGTGAGTGAGTGAGTGAGTGAGTGAATTTGCGGTTTGTGTGTGTGTGTGTGTGTGTGTGTGAGAGAGAGAGAGAGTGAGACAGAGAGAGAAAGTTTGCGGTTTGTGTGTGTTCATTTGTGTGTGTGTGTGTCTGTGTGTATGTGAGTGAGTGAGTGAGAAAGAAAGTTTGCGGTTTGTGTGCATGACTATTGGTGTTTGTGTGTGCGTGTGTGAATCTGTGTCACACACAGTGTGCACGTGTGCTTTTGTGTGTATGTGAGTGTGTGTGTGTACGAGAGAGAAGCTTGTGTGTATGTTTGTTATTTGTGTGTGTATATATCTCTGTGTGTATGTATAGGTGTGTTTGTATCTTTGTGAGTGTGTTCTGTATGTGTGCATGACTATGTGTCATTGTGTGTGTGTGATTGTTTGTGTTTATCATTTTGTGTGTGTGTGTGCGCATCTGTCTGTGTGTACGTGTGTTTGACCGTTTACAGTTTGTATATTTGTGTGTCATACATATATTTGTGCATCTGTGTTTGTGAAAGTGTGTGTGTGTGGTTTGTCAGTGCATGTGTTCACGAGTGCATGTTTATTTGTGTGTGTGTGTGTGTATTTGTGTGACTGTATATGTCTGTGTATGTGTATAAGACTGTGTATAAGACTGCTTTTATGCGTGTGTTTACATGTTTGTTTTTAAGTGTGTATGACTGTTTATATGTACGTGTGTGTACGTGTATGTTATCCTGCAGTACCACTGTCCTCCACACGGGGTCAGCATCACACAGCACTGCGGGATAAACACAGCATGTGGTCTCCTGAATAGACGCCGCTCTCTAAATGAGCTCCTGTCATCATTTACTCATCCTCATGTCCTTCTGGCCACACATTAGTTTCTTTCATGACGGGGAACAATCAAGCAGAAACTGTTCTGTCCCTCCACATGCTCGACTGAACATTCAGCTCCTCCACAGCACAGCACATCCCATCATTCCTCAGATATTACCGCGTTTACAGGCTTTCTCCAGGTCTAATTTAACACATTTAAAGACATTAAGACCATAACGAAAGAAATTTCAGACTAAATGCTAAAGATTCAATTATTTTCCTTCGTTTTAGCCCCTTATTTACGATTGGTCGCCACAGAGGAATGAACTGACAACTATTCCAGTATATGTTTTACATAGTGGATGCCCTTCCAGCTGCAACCCAGTACTGGGAAACATACAAACAAACTCATACACTACGGCCAATTAAGTTCATGAATTCCCCACATGTGTTTGGTTTGGCACACTTCATAATTGCACAAAGTTTCTAAGAGATAAGAGACCCAGGGCCCTATCATGCACCCAGCGCAATAAGGCGCAAGACATGTTTGGCGCGACTTGTTGCTGTTTTCAGACCAGTGCAACCCTAATTTTCACATTTTGCTTCACGTTGTTTAAATAGCAAATTCATTTGCGCCACTCTGTGGACTCATGTGTGTGCTGCTCTATAAAGGAGGTGTGTTAAGGCGCATTGTTGGAGCGTTGCTGTTTTGAGGAACTGAAATAGACCACACCAATGACCAACTAAAAGCTGCTCTAAAGTCCAGCAGAGTGTGTTAGTTATGCACCTATGCAGGTCTAAACGCTCACACACTGCTGAACACACACAGGATGATCAGCAACACACAAATATCTTTACAGATGAAAACAATTAAAGGATTAAAATGATACAAACATGATGATTTTCTACATCAATTTAAACACCACTGCCTCCAAGCTAGAGGTCTGCATTGCCGCGGCTGTCCCGCGGGCGCCGCAGGACCCGACCAGATTTCTGTGACGCGGGTATAAATTTCCGAATAAATCACGGGAGCGGTCGGTAACGGGTTTAATTTGGGACGGGAGCGGGCTGTCTAGCAATATCGCTCCCGGCTCCCGAGTGAGCACGCGTATGTATGTGTGTAAATGAAATAGCGCGATGCTGTGTATAGCTTGTTTGTTGCTGTGTGTGTGTGTGTGTGTGTGTGTGTGTGTATGTATGCGCGAATGAGAGAGAGAGAGCTTTGCCTGTGTGTGTGCTTGGTGCTTATGAGTGTGTGTTAGTGGGCGCGCGCGCGCGAATGAGAGGGAGAGAGCTGTCTCTGCGTGTGTGCTCGGTGCTGTGCGTGTGTGTGTTTATACAGACAGCTTGTTATAGGCTGTCTGAACTGTATAACTGGGTGATTTTCAGTTTTGTTCTCCCCCCGCTCTTTAGCGGGATCGGGTGCGGCGGGTAGAAGACGGGGCGGGTCGGGCAGCGGGACAACAAGCGCTTAATATAAGCGGGAGTGGTCAGGTTCGGGCTAAAACCTGGCGGGTGCGGGCGGGATTCAAAATTTAGTCCCGCGCAGATCTCTACTCCAAGCCTTCTTCTCCTCAGGGGATTTTTCAGTTTATTAATGACGATCAGCATCTGTTTAATGTTATTATTATCAGCAGTATTATTTGTTATATGCAGATTTATATTTGCTTTAATAAACACAAGTGTAGATGTGTCCAGCTGTGGAGTTTTGGAGGCGTCTGCATCAGCATATGGGGCATAGGAACAGGGCGTGTGTTTGGATATAACTCAGTTTTCTGACCACACTTCATGATTATTGTTCATTTATTCCTTAGAACTGAATTTAGAAATAGTTTTGAAGCAAATCTTTGCTCTTAAACTAAATTAAACATGTCGGCTAACGAATGTGTTCAGTGGAGTGAGTTTCCACCGTTTCCTCACTCCACCAAAGTAAAGGAGTAAAGAGTAAAAGTAAAGAGGCTGAATGGAGGAGGCTCGTTCTTTATCCTCGTGCTGCAGATGCTCTGTTTAACTGTTTTCCTGCTAGTGAAGTGTTCAGTTTTTACACTTACAAAGTCCGTCATGTAAATAGCAAATACACCATGGAGCGACACAACTGACTCTTAAAGGGAATGAGTGACGAGACTCTGATTGGTTTAATGCAGGTTATGCTCAAAACACACCCAGAACTCATTAAGAGAATAAGCGCAGCCCTGTTAGACGGCATATTTATCTGTCATTAAAATAGCAAAAGTGGATTCGGACACATGCTTAATGCTTTTGCGCTTTAGACTTTGCGCCTAGATCATTAATATAGAGCCCACAGAGTGAGACTTGAGATTACACTGTAAAGTCCTATGGCTGATTGTGTTTAATTCTTACCTGGCGCTTTCAAAAGTAGCTGAGGGAGTTTTCCCGATGGCTCCGAAACCCACACCGACAGCCAAACCCTCTGAAACACACAAAATAAACAAATGATCAACATTTTACAGTCATACAGACACCTGTTTCTGATGAACAGTCATACATCTGTTGTTTTTTATGTTTCAGTCAATGATCAATGATTTATCCATTCATTCATTTTCCTTTGGCTTAGTCTCTTGATTAAAAAGGGCTCACCACAGCTGAATGAACCAACAACTATTCCAGTATATGTTTTACACAGCAGATGCCCTTCCAGCTGCAACCCAACACTGGGAAACACCCATACACTCTTGCATTCACTCACATACACTACAGCCAATTTAGCTTATTATAGCATGTGTTTGGATTTGTGGGGAAAAGCAGAGCACCCGGAGGAAACCCACGCCAACGCAGGGAGAACATGCAAACTCCACACAGAAACGCCAACTGAGCTAGCTGGGGCTCGAACCAGTGACCTTCCTGCTGTGAGGTGATCGTGCTACCCACTGCGCCACCTTGACACGCTGATTTATCCATGTGTATTGTTATTTTGAGTAACCTTGTACACTGATTAACTCCTGCATATCCAATTAGCTAATTCATTTCAACTTGCATCAATTAAACTGACTTTAAAGACTGAGATAAAATTTGCACAACTTAAAAAAGCAAAGTGGAAATCTTATTAACTTACAAAAATAAGTTAAAGTAACTTTAAAACATCTGTTGTGACGACTGCTATATTATTCATATGATTCTTTTGTGTGTTCATTCATTCATTTTCTTTTCGGTTTAGTCCCTTCATTAATCTGGGGTCGCCACAGCGGAATGAATCGCCAACTTATCCAGCACATGTTTTACGCAGCGAATGCCCTTCCAGCTGCAACCCATCCCTGGGAAACATCCATACACACATACACTATGAACAATTTAGCCTACACAATGCTTGTGTTTGGACTGTGGGGGAAACTGGAGCACCCAGAGGAAACCCATGCCAACACGAGGAGAACATGCAAACATCACACAGAAACGCCAACTGACCCAGCCGAGGTTCAAATCAGCGACCTTCTTGCTGTGAAGCGAACTTGCTACCCACTGTGTGTGTGTGTGTGTGTTCTCAAGTCTAAAATAATAGTTACAGCAACTGACTGGGCCAAATGTGTTGAGCCACGACCCATTCAACCATTAGTTTGCTGCTAGTGCAAGATAAAATAATCTTCAATTATTCAATTATTCAAAATAAAACTTAGTGAATAGTTAGTTAATAGCGTAAATTTGGTCTTAAAATAAAGCATTACCCATATTTAGATCCCTAACTGGTGCTGATGGAAGAAAGGAGGGGGGAATTATGCAGGGCAGAGTACCTGTAAGGGTGGGCCAGTTGTGATGGTCCCATCATAATTTGCATATTCTGTTTACAAAGTACATATTAAGCATGGTCTGATTCTAAATATCCAATACTACTTCTTTACAAGCTACTGTAATGAGCAATAATTAAGGGTAAATGGGGGTGACACTGTGACTCACAGGTTAAAACTGTCACCTCACAGCAAGAAGGTCGCTGGTTTGAGTCCCGGCTGGACCAGTTGGCATTTGTGTGTGGAGTTTGCATGTTCTCCCCATGTTGGCATGGGTTTCCCCCACAGTCCGAACACATGCGCTATACAGTATATGAATTGAATAAACTAAGTTGGCCTTAGTGTATGTGTACGGGTGTTTCCCAGTAGTTTTCCAGTTTTTTTTGCAGCTGGAAGGAACGGTGTAAAACATAAGCTGGATTAGTTGGTGGTTCATTCCGCTGTGGTGACCCCTGGAGAATAAATGGACTAATCTGAAAGGAAATTGAATGAGGATGAATGAAATGTGTGCTATAGTGAGAATTAAACCTTAAAGTGACGCGTGACCGACATCCCTTTTCTGATTGGAGTTTACAGGCTTGAGGGCGGAGTCAAGCTGTCACTCAAATGAGATCCACCTATTGCAATCCACACCCATCCAATCAACCTCCCCCTGACAAAATTGAGCTCCGCCTACACTTGTTCTTGCTTTAGAAGTCAATCGACGGCCCAATGAAGAAGCTTAGAGTCATCAGATGTGCAATCCAAACTGCTGCTTTCAATCTTGCCATAGCGAAGGATGCTTTAGCTTGCTGGAACCCCTCATTCGAAGCTATTTGTTTTCCAATAACCGTAACAAGCAATAAAAGAGAGTGATTTCCTCAGTAAATGTCAGCTCTTGGGTCACCATGACTTACCAGGCCGTATTGAAGAACTCCTTAACTTTTTAATGAGCACACAGTCATTAGAGTCTGCAAAATCAAACTCATACACAAAAGCACGCCGTTACTAAGAAAAGCTGCTCATGTCTTTTGTCTCTGTCCCTAAACCCTTAGGGCCTACTCACACTATGCCATCCGTACCGTGCCCAGGCCCATTTCCCGGATCGTTTGAGAAGTGTGAGTGCGCTGAATCGGGCTCAAGCACGGTTCACTTGGCCGGCCCTGGCCCGGTTGGGAGAGGTGTGCCTGAGCGCGGTACACTTGGGCTTTGGCGCGGTACGCTTGTGTGTGAGTGCAAAACGCGCCAAAGCCCAAAACCGAAAGCGAGACGTGACTTTTAAGGGACTGTTTGATATGGATTTATTAATTATTCTTACTGTTCAGTGAACGCAAACTGCCGTAGATTATTAAAGACGCAAACTCCTCACAGCACGCCAGCTGCGCACCTTCAGCAGACCTCCTAATTCCTGCAGCACGAGAGCTTTATGATTGTTTATGAGCTCCAAAAGTGGCGGATCTGTTCAGCGAAATATCTGACTGCGTGTCACCGCATCCCTAAGGACTGTTTGGCGAAATATTTGACTGCATGTCACTGCATAACAAACGACTGAAAGGATATAACAAGAGAAATCTCCACTGTGCTGCTGAGTGAGAGCGTATGGCAAGCCGTTTTAGCATTTAAACCTTGTTCTGACTATCCATAAATATATTTAGAGATATCTCTAATTATATTTTTACTAGTCATAATTATAATTCGACTAGTCAGAATGACAATTAGAGATATCTGCAATTACAATTGTACTAGTACGAAATCAGATTGGAGATATCTGCAAATATATTATGACTAGTCATATTCCTCCATTGACTTCCATTGAAAAATATTTGCAGATATCTCTAAATGAGTTTTGACTCGTCAAAAATCCAATTCAAGATATCTACAACTGTAATTCGACTATTAGTAAATTAATTAGAGATATCTTCAAATATATTTGTAAATATCTCTAAATATGATGAATTAAAGACATCTCCAAATGTATTATGACTAGTAAAAACTCAGAGATATCTCTAATTACAATTGTGACTACAATTGTAATTAGAAACGGACCATTGTAGCCCTGATTTTGACTCGCCGACAGGTTTTGAGAAATCGCCGACAAATGCCTGAAATCACAAGCAAATTGCTGCTCGTTCACGTGAGTGACAATCACACAGTATGAACAATCAAGGACGCGATATGAGAGAATCGCCGATGAGTCGCCGACGCCTGTGAGATATTTGGCATGCTAAACACATCAGGAGCTGTCGGCGAATCATATCATATCAGGTGAAATGTGATCTGACTGAAAATAACATCAGCGATCGCCTACAGCCAATGAGAGAGCAGCTTTCACTTGTGTGTGTACCTGCAGGCCAGCGGGAGGAGGGGGAGAAGTTAAAAGCGCTCATTTTCAGTTGATTTAGACCCAAGAAATGGAGGAAAAACTAGTGTAAATTTGGCAGGAGCACTGTGAGCAATGCGTCACTCTGAGGCCCCGTTTACACTAATGCGTTTTAGTTTGAAAACGCATTAGTTTTGCTACGGTTACGCCAACAGTCCATACTACGCCGGAGTTCTCGTGCGCCGAAAACGGAGCGTTTCGAAAACACTGGAGAGGCCGTTTTCATTCTGAAACGCTGCTGCTCCGTCTCAGTATGGATGAAAGAAAACGGAGACATCTGAAAACGGAGGCGGGGCTGCAAACATTCGCCTCTCTGATTGGGGCTTTTCTTCAATATTAAGTAGCCTAACACAAACAGTTCATTCCCGCATCTTCTCCGTGTAAGTTCAGACTTCGCAAGTTTGATCAAGGCTGCAGTCTCTTCTTCTCTGTTTGATATAGAAAACAGACTATACCGAGGACACGGGTAAATCTTCAAAGGGAACAGTGTACTGTATAACTTCACTCACATCACCCTGGCTACGTTGTTTCACTTTCTCAACAATAAAATGTAAACATGATATAAGGAACTGCCTATTTTCATTTTAATATTAACAACTAAACAGACAGCAGACTACTTTTTACTCATAATTTGAGTAATATTTACAACAGGTACATTTACTCGCACTACATTTTTAGGCAAGTAATGGTACTTTTACTTAAGTATGCTTGTTTAGTACTCTTTCCGCCGCTGCAGATAGTCATGCAGTGTGAAAACATCTGTGCCACGACTACTTTGAAAATCATTCAATTCAATTCACCTTTATTTGTGCAGCACTTTTACAATGTAGATTGTGTCAAAGCAGCTTCGCATGAAAGATCATAGTACATTGAAACTGTGTCAGTTCAGTTTTCAGAGTTCAGTTCAGTGTGGTTTAATAATCACTGCTGAGAGTCCAAACCACTGAAGAGTAATCCATCGATGTGCAGCTCTACAGATCCCGAACCATGCAAGACAGTGGCGACAGCGGTGAGGAAAAAACATTTCTCCACTGGAGAGGTCTCTGGATTGCAGTCTGAACTCTGCATTACTGAATAGACTTTGGATGAGCATTTTTGACTGGTACTCCAAGGCTTATAGCAGACCTTTTCTACCGCCTGCTGAACTTGCCATCTTTGGATTCTCACCGCATCTTTTCTCCCTCACACAATGCAGAAGTCTTGAATGCAAAGCAGTATGTTTCTCGGTTTAATGCTGAGGCTGATCTGAGAGTAAAGTAGTTTGGTGTTTCCTCTGGACGCTCTCTCTGCTGTTATCTGCGGGACTCGTCTTCATCTGCACCGGAGGATTTGTCT